GTCCAGCCGCGTTATATCAGATGATCTGGGTGGCTAAGGAAATGGACCTCCTCGCCCAATTCATCTTCCTGTAAAATGGTCATTCAAAGAACTACGAACGATGGTACTGCAATGAGGTGGTGCACCATCTTGTTGCAAAAAGACATTTGGATGAAGCTCTTCTAGTTGTGGAAATACGAAGTTTTCCAACATGTCTAAGTATACGACTCATGAGACCGTCTTTTTTGTAGAAAAGACAGGCCTAATGACTCGGTCGTGCATTAGTCCACACCTGACATTAACCTGTGGGGAATCCTTTTGTGCCTCACGGTATTCATGGGGGTTTTCAGATCCCTCTATGCGCACATAATGGCGATTAACGATGCCAGAAAGATTCCAAAAACAAAAGAGAGAAAAATGCAATTAATAAGCAGACGATAATTAGAAAAGTACCTGAAAAGGAAAATATATAGGTTAATCCATCGATAAATGCCATAAGTTTATTTATATCTTCATTATTTTATGAGTTATTAAACATCAAAATGGGTCCGGGACTTTATAAACACCCTGTAACATGGGGCTTAATGAGGGAATCCCTTCTGAATAGAAGTTACGGATTTGATTTTTATTATAGTAAATAATAGTTTTTAAAGGGGAAAAAAACAAAACAAAACATTAGAAATGTTAAAGGAGAAAAGAACTTTTTCTAATAAATGTAACGAACTATTAGGAAACGAAAGAATAGTGGTTTTAGAAGAATTTCTCGAAAGTTCATGTGCGAAAGTCTGAATACTTATTTCAGACTGATAGTGATGCAGGAAACTCAAAAATGATTTAGACCGGGCGTCTCCAACCGCATGCGCGCTGACAAAAGTTTTTAATTACATTTTGGGTTGGTGACTACAAAACAATTAAAAAGGAGATATCTTTGTTATTCAAGCACATTGGCAGCTAAATATTAAATATTCAGACCGATACCTATTTCAAAAGTGTTAAATAAACCATTAAATAACTTAGTTTTACCTGAAACTAAAAATGAGCTGAACAAAAGTTGATAATAAATAATGACAATCTTGTCTCTTTCTATTCTTTATTAACTTTTTCTTTTTGTATTTCTTTATTTTTTTACCAAGCTTTCAGTTAGCCCATATAGCTTTTCTGTTTGCTACAGTTTGTAACCTTAAATAAGAATTACTAGGAACTATCTCCAAAACGAACTGTAGATGCTCATCAGACAGTCTTGTTTTTCACACTTATTAAATTTTAACAGCAAGGAATAAAACTGCTCACATCATTCCCAAATAAACAAATAGTTCTCTTACAAAAACTGATAAGTGAGGGCATTGACGTTTTCATAAGTACGAAAAATAAGTTAATCAAAACTGTATCTTCAAATCTCGACATATAATAAAAGAAAGAGTCTGTCTGTGTGTGTGTGTGTCTTTTGTTCGCGCTTGCGCGTACGCTAATAGACCCACAGCTACGAAATTTGGTAAATAGGTGCATCTAGACAAGAGCCAGTGCACCTCGAAGCGATTTTTTCGATATTCAAATTCGAATTTCTTTTTATTTTATGTTTTGTGACGAAATCACGTCATTTTGAGACATAATGGGCTACAGGAAAAGCGAGATTTTACTCTACACACTCCATTTTCACATCGTCATGAAACGTAGGCACTTAGCTATTTTACGAACTGAAAATAAATTTCGTGTTTCAATAAATCGATTATATAGGAATTTATTTAACAAAGGTAACTCAAAACCTTTTCAACGGGATTTTTTCTAAAAAAGTTTATTTTTTAAAAAATGTGCAGTTTATTTTTCTTTGATTTTTGGACACGTTAACTTTAAACTTTCATCCTTGCGACTGCTTTTACAAAAGAAGATTTTGGAAAATGATAATATTTTGTATTTTTAAAAGAATTTTTAAATGAAGCTACCGAGTACACTTCTCACATTTTTAAAAATGTGATTTTGGCAACAATTTTTCCTTTCTTATTGTTGTTGATAGATTTTTTGATGAAATCGCATCATTTTGAATAGTTTCATTCTTTTAGAAATATGAGTTTGGCAACAAACTTTTCATCGTATTTCTTATGTCACTGTTTTTAAGAGATTGGCATATTTCATTGTCATTTTTTTCATATATATATAATACATTTTTATTGATTTTTTTTTTATAAAAATTTATTCTGCAGAGTAAAATTCTGCGCGGAATTTTTATTTTTTAAGTTTCTTTTCACTTTTATTTTTTTGCTTATTTCACTGTTTCTAAGATATTGAAAAGTTTTGCATGATTTTTTTTTTCTTCAACGGAAAGTTGGTTAATTTTTTTATATGTAATATATTTTTTTTTCAATTTTTTTTTTTTTTTTTTTTTTTTTTTTTTTTTTTTTTTTTTTTTTCTGGAAGTTTTTCTGTACAGTAAAATTCTGCGCAGTTTTTAATAACGTTTCGTGTTCCCTTCAGGCATATTTACGGTACATTTAAAAGCCAGACGAAGGCTGGCTGCGTAGCTGCTACTGTGAAAATATCTTTAACATGTGATAACTTCCAGAAAATAAGAAATACAGCACATTTGCTTATCAATGGATTCTTTCAACATCAGATTTTTCTTAACCGACATTGGTCCAAATTTCTCACACACCATTTCGTTATGAAGTAACGAGCTAACAGAACCAAAAAAACTAAGTTAAAAAAATAAGTTAATTTTATGGAGATATCTCATATTATAAGAGTACAAGGTGCCTTTATGCTAAGAAATGTAAACGTCTTCATTTTTTTAGAGAATTTCTAGAGGCTATTAGGTTTACGAATCGTAAGCTATGAAACATTTCTGATGCTTTGGCGAGGCTTTTTTAAATTACGCTTAAATTGTACCTTAGGAGGAAGAAAACAATCATTAAACCTTGGTGGTGACGAATTATCATCCATCACATTTTAATTTGAACTCCGCTTGTAAAAACGTTTAAATCTTTTGAAGCGAGAACGAGAAACATTCAGCGAGATCTTCACCGGAAATCGAAATCCAGACTATTAGTCGGACGTGCTTTTCATTTACACTCCGAAGGCATGCGGTGAGAAAGAAGAAAATTCCTTACTAAATTAATAATTCATAAATTGATTTTTTTGTTTATATATATGTATTAACTAAGAAAAAGGTCCATCGCTGAACTGAATATAATTTACAAAGCAAAACAAACAAATATACCTTTTATGATCCTATGAAACTTTAATGTATAGCATGATAATTAATTATAGAAAAACACTGTGTACATTTTTGCGTGTACAAAAATCAAGAAATATATATAATATCCCTTTATGATATTAATATATATAATAATATCCCTTTCAGAGTATATATAATACCTATATATATAATCCCTTGGTAACGATAAACAACAATTCTACACTCATGTCCATAAATTAAGGATAATGCAAAATCAGGTAAAGAAGAGTTAGAAGCAAAACAAATTTAACTTATTTGTAAAGCTTATTTATTAAACAAAAGGTAAAGAGCAAAAAAAGATGCTATATGTTTGATATTATTAAAAAAATTAGCGATTTTTTCTCCTTGGAGCAAATTACAAAAAAAACCTATTTACAAAAAACCAATATTACATGGTTGGTATGATTGTTAATACATTGTATGTCTCCCAGACGATGCAATACAGTCCGTACAACGCCTAGGCATGCTGAGTATCAAATTATCGATCTGATCTTGGGGGATATTACACCACTCAAAAAGCAATGCTCTCCGAAGTTCCGGTAGACATCTAGGAGGAGGTTGACGGGCTGCAACTCGTCGGCCAAGCATGTCCCACACATGCTCTACTGGATTCAAGTCCGGTGAGAATGCTGGCCAGTCCATACGGGGGATATCCTCCGACTGAAGGCATTCGCTTATGATGTTTGCACGGTGAGGACGGGCGTTGTCATCCATAAACACAAATTGTGCGCCCGTGGCGCCCCGAAACAAACGTACATGTTGTTCCAGAATGACGTCCCGATTTTTTAAATCGGGAAGATGAAATTTAGCTTTTCATGATTCCACTTTGAATATGCAAGTCAGTTTTGGAAACCAGAATAATTCCACCCCAAACGAGCACTCCTGCACCACCGTAACGGTGTCGTTCAATGATGTTTTCTTGGTGGTAACGGGTACCTGGAGCTCTCCATATGAACGTCCGGCGAGAATCAGACTGCAAGCTAAACCTGTACTCGTCGGAAAACATCACACAAGCCCACTGTTGCGGTGTCCACAATGCATGCTCTCTACTCCAGGCTAACCGCAGGCGACAGTGAGTTGCAGTAAGTGGAACGCATCTGACAGGTCTACGAGCATATAGATCAATCTGCTCTAAGCGTCTGTACACGGTCTGCCTTGAAATTGTCGTACCAGTGGCTAAAAAGAGTTGACGAAACAGGTCTGAGACTGTACTCCGCCTGTTTCTTTTGGGAGTAAATGCCAAATACCGGTCCTCATTCGGCGTTGTAACTCTGGGGCGACCTGTGCTGTAACGTCTACTCACATTACTCTCATCTTGGAATCATTGCCAAAGCCTGGAGATGACACTCTGGGCAATTCCAAGTTCGTCTGATACTTACCGTTGTGTACGCCCACATTCCAGACGGCCGATAATTCTACCACGTAAAAAATCATCCAAATGCGTCCTTTGGGTCATAACTATTCGGTTATTGCACTGAAATGCTTATAAAGCGCCTGCGAACAATTTTACTTCTTTGCCTGTATTCCTTATATATCACTCTCTTACACTCTCGTCATTGTGACGTACCATCGGTGTCATCTGGTTACTTCCTGAAATTTGCATATGATTCTTGAAGATATGTGTAGTGATTTTACAGGTGATATATTTATTTTAGAGTTCGATTTCCGCGTGACTCCGAATTATCCTTAATTTATGGACATGAGTATATTTAAAGCCCGCAGACTAAGAACACAAATAAGTATTTCCTTCTAATTTCTATTTTTTTTTTTTTTTTTTTTTTTTTTCTTTAAGGTTGGCGTAAGCGAGCATGGGGCAAGAATTGGAGTTTTGACGTTCGGTTCTAATGCGGAAACAGCATTCTTACCTACCAGCTACAAGAGTACGGAAGATGTTCTCCGCGCCCTGGACGAGATCAAGTACACTGGTGAAGTAAAAATGTTTCATGTCTGTTGGAATTACTTTTAAATTTTATTAACAGTCAGGCCTAGTCTTATTTTCGCTTACTTTTGGCTCAAATATTCCCTCGGAAGAGAAGGTTACGCAAATGTAGACCATTCGCAAGTGGGTTCCGTTATCGCCGCTTGTTAGCTGGAGATTAGCAACAGAAGATTCTCATTGTTGGTCTCTTCTGCGCTTAGCTGGATTTTAAGGCGTACTTGAATTTTATAACAGTTATTTTAATTTACATAACCTTTCCTATCAATTCTTGTTCCTCACTTACAACTCTCTACAAGAATGAGTTTTTAGAATCGCGTTGAATGCTAATGAGTTTGGTCTCGCTTGAAGCAAAGAATATAGACTTTCTTTGCTAGAAGCTCTGCCGGTATATTACGTGCCTTTTGATATTCGCGAGTTAGTTTAGATTTAGGGCCAACTAAGTTAGATTTGTTTTAGCTTCGGCTAAGTCTCTTAGCTCATCACAGCTAGCTCTCATTTGCTATTTTGACTTCAAGCCGAGTGGAGGCTTTGCTGTGAGCCCAGGATAGTTAACCCTTCTTGATTTTACGATTTCTGTTGTTTGAAATAAGTCGCTTAACAGCTCACTAGGTTCATCGGTATTTACTTTAGTAGAATAAGAGTGAGGAACTCTAAAAGGCATTATTGAGGAGTACTTTGGACTATCCGCTGGCATGCTGAGTTTCCATCCGAATGGTAAGGAAGTTTCACTGCAGTGGATTGTGAAGTTCAGCCCTGGCAGCCTTTTGATAATTTTTTTAAGCCTTTTACGATTTTTATTATATTTCAGCGTTTAAATTATTTCTAATTTGATGGTAGCGCGTCTTTCTAAAGCTTTGTTGCATAACTCAAAGTACGTTTCTTCGCAGTGTCTCAATTTCTTAATCTGTTGTATTTATGTCTCTTTGTAGGTAATGGAACAGCGACACTTGTGTCTTCTTTAGAAGACCTAATATTTACCTTCATTCCTGTTACACGAGAGTCTCTTGGTGGGAGAGGACAGAAATCTATCGTTTTCATTCTTACAGACGGTGAGTAACAGACTATAAGAATTAAGCAAAATATTAAGCAATTTAGGTATAGCATTTTAGAAGATTGTCAAAAAACAAAATTAAAATAAATAGTACATGTATTTTTAATTATTATATTAACTACGATTTGTTTTAATACTTACATATTTTGTAATTCTGTTTTTATCTAACTGCTTGCGTTCCTTATAATTTGTCTGATATGCTTGAGTCAACACGTCTTCTCTTTTGGTACGCATATGACGCAGGTGTATTTGCCATTTTTATATGCATATCTAGTTCTCATCCAAGTTTCCCAGTATATAACTTAAAAACTTCTAGTTTATGATCAAAACTATAAAATATGTTTTGACCATAAATAATAAGTTGAAAAGTTTAAAGTTAAGTTGTTTTTTAATTGCAAATTTTTAATAGCAATATTTCAGAGTCATTAAGTTCATATAAGAGCAGGAAACACGAAAAATCCGTCCGAGATTTTAACTCTAGACCTTCTGATGGCTAGCCGTATGAACCTGCTGCAGCATACATATATACTCGGAAATTCATCTTTTACGAAGCAATTGTTAAAATTAAATTCATCGTAAGATGCATATGTAACACTAGAACGCCCGGCGCTGTTCTAGATATTATAAATTGTAATTAAAATGATTTGTGCAAAGGTGTCTGCTAATTTAAACTGAATTACCCAGGGCAGGCGGCAAGGACGCCCCTTTGCTTACTGCCCCACGGGGTTTCCCCCTTCTACTTGCTTAATTTCTTAAAGAAGAGTGCAATGAAGGAAACCACTGGCGTTCTTCTTAAGAGCCACCGCTAGCTCAATCAATAAAGGGGATTTAAATAATTAAATTTTAATTCACATGTCAAAGATCTCTTTGTACACAACATTTCTTGTGTAGATCTTTCCATCATTTTTAAGCTCGCCTTGCAGAGGACCATCCATTATTTTAAATTTTACGTCCATTCTTTCACGAACTCTTTAACAGGCAACATAAAGTTGACCGTGTTCAAATGCAGCCTCAGGTAAAAAAATGCCAACACGCTTAAGCATTTGGCCCTGAGACTTATGGATGGTCATAGCAAAGGCAAGTTTTACAGGAAATTGTTTACATTTCAATTGAAACAGCAACCCTGTGCCGTGGCAACTTCACCCCATTCGCTAGTACAGTTACGCAAACAACCAATAAACTATCGGGGAACAAGCAGACAGTTAAGCCGCATATATATATGGGGTGAAGTAACATTATCTCCTCCGAAACGGCTGGCTCCCAGGCTTAGCGAAGCACACCGTTGGATTCCGCAGGTCCGTGGCACGCCATTTTGACCATTCGCGTCTTCTTGGGAGTTTAATTAGTCAGGATATTAATTAAAAATTAATTTTCCCCTTCGTTTTCTTTAAGTTTTCCACTTTATTTCTTGGCTTTTTCCTATTACAGGGATTTGGCTACGTGCCAAATTTTTTTTTCTCGAATATCTACGGAACGGCGCCGAGTTGAAATTCGAGACGTATATCCTCGGATTCCAAAAACTTCTTCGAATCCATCGATACCATTCTCATCTTCGTACGAGTTTAATCGGCTGAGATATTAATTATAAAATGCGGAAACGTTAATTTCCGCGCTCATTTTTCCGAGTGGCAGCAATAAACTATCGGCGACACACACTTTAGCCGCTTATATATATAAAGATATTATACAGTAGCATGATAAAGTTAGTAACATGATAAATAACAGTAAACGTTAACAAATCTCACACCTCCAAAACGAAAAAAAAAATGTAGCTTGCAGACTATTTTCGGCTTATCCTCGATAACTTTTTCTTTTAAATTAAATGAAAAATTAAAAGTGCAACATACGCATGATTGCAGTTTAAGTACGCTGGAATGCGGTAAGTAACAACAGCAGAAGAAGAGTAAAGTTTCTTATCTTAATTGATTCACGTATGGCCCACCTGGGCGTACAAATAGCCAGCACCCGTGGCTTTAACTTAAAAGTAGAAAATGTAAAACTAAAGTACCTCAAAGTTGAATAATCGGCCATATATACCCATTAATCGTGATTAACATTATATACATGAAGGGACTGAATTCAAGCAAAAGTGCGAATACTTTTACAATCCAATTTACAGTTCTTTTACAGAGATGTATAAAGTTAAAATAATTAAAACATTTTCATTAACTTGAAATTCTTTATGAATGTTCAACTGCCTTATCCGGAGAGCCAGGTCATGGTGCTCAGTGGATGGTATGCAGTATTATTTTCTTGGCAATGTTTGGGAACCACTGTCACTGCATCTAAATATACAGATGAGGTCACTTTGCTGGATAGTGGTTTTGCAGTCCAAACGGAAGTCGTTTTGCCTATATTTATATATAACAGGTAGTCGTTTTGCTAAATCAACTAAATCTGTTAAATACGAGTATTTAAGACTTAGCTCGATATTCTACTCAATATAAAAGTCTCCAAGATAAAGTTGAACATTATAAAGATACAGCAAATTATGTGCCTTGCGCATATTTACTTAATTTTGTTTGGAATATCACGGTTAATTATGTGTCTGAAAGATTTATTATATTTTTAAATTTAATAGGAAGAATTTAGAATTTATGCATTTTTCTTCTGCATCTCCTAGCTGCTGGATTGATTTGGAATCTAAATTTGTCGAAAATGTGAGACATTTCAATATTAAAACAATTTATGTTTGACACCTATTCTTAGATTTAAGAGTGTTTGGGTTACCCTAACTCCTACAGAAAACTTTGAAGACTCTAGTTATTAGGTACCACTGATTTCCTTGCAGAAGTTATCGTGATGTAAATGATATTTCCCCGGTTCGTACGGATAATAATTCTATAATAATTAATTTGCACTTTAAGGAGTCTCTACGTGCGAATTAGCATAAAGGTACAGATGACAGTCTGCTTGACTAACTTGACTGATTTCATGTTAAAAAATCCCAGCTTAATATTACTCTAGGAGAAGCCCCATTTATATCTAATTTTAATGTGCTAAGCTTAACGTGCTGGTTTGGACCTCTGGAATCATGTCCACAGGTCAGAATTTTAAACATCGATATTCATCAGCAGCTATTTGCTTTCTCCATCATCTAGGCCTTTCAACCACACCTAATCACAGACACGGCACGAACTTATTCAGACAGCATGTAGAGACATTAGGTTAATTAGAAAACCCGGAGAGATGAAAAATGAGCAAACGCCTTCGCCGGGAATCGAACCACGGGCCACTGGAATACCGGCCCAGCGTGCAGAACCACTACACCACGAAGGCACGCTAGGAAAGTGGGAGAAATACCTTATATACTCCCCTTTTTAAAGGGCGAATAGGGATTTAGGGGACCTAGTCGCCAAATCTTGGGTGTGGAGAGTCATCATCCACAACCCTTTTAGTTCGGGCGACACTGTACAGACATTAGGTTAATTAGAAAACCCAGAGAGATGAAAAATGAGCAAACGCCTTCCCCGGGAATCGAACCACGGACCTCTGGAATACCGGCCCAGCGTGCAGAGCCACTACACCACGGAGGCACGCTAGGAAAGTGGGAGGAATACCTTATAAGCAGACAACTTCAGAAGGTGATAAACAAACCTACGGTTCCAGCGATAGAAAAGGTGCAAATTTCAAACCCAGTTTGTTAATTAAAAATAAACTAAATTATCACGTATGATAATAGGTTGTCGTAGCATTTTTTAGGCTTTTTTAAAGTTGGTGATTCTACAGGTCACGGCCTATGTGAGACAATAATGGAAATGTTGAAAATGTGGATTATTCCCCTTGGTGATAGGAGAGGCCAGGGATATGAAAACGGCGCAAATTTGAAAAGGGAAGAAAAATGGTCTTCAAAATAATATCTTAAAAAATATATCCTCCTGCGTTTTATGTTCCTTGTGCCGCTCATGGTTTAAATTTAATGATTAACGATATTACAAAGGTGAATGCAGATACGGTTACCGTAATTTCCGGAAGAAAGGCCGCATCAGCTTAAACGCCGCACTCGACAAAAACTGCGGGAAAAAAATTAAAATTACACAGAAACGCCGCATCGGCGTAAACGCCGCAATAGATTAAATTGCGCGTGACATCGTCGTGGGCCGTATAGATGCAAAAACTCAACCTAAGTCCTGATATATGACATACCAGTTAAGAAAAAAGCATGAAATGAAACCATAACTCAAAAATAAATTAAAGGTAAGAAATGTATAGCTTCTGTGCCGTTTAGAGATATTTTCAAAAATTTTTCCGCTCACTTCTTACTTAAAAACTATCCAACAAGTACTTGTACCCAAACTGATGGGATCTGTATTTGGCAGAATGCCAAGAAAAATCCATTCATGCTGAAGGGGAAATACGTCAGAGTTCGTTATTGCGAGGCAGGTGTCGTGTCCGCTTTTGAAAAAAATTGCAGAAAAGGCAGGGGTGGGGAGAGGATGGGTCCTGGAAGATTCATCGAATCACAGAGGAGAGAGACTATTCAAACTGATGAGAATGTTGATTTGAAAGTGGGAAGAATGTTATTGTTCTGAGATCTCGTTTAGGGTGAATAAGGCATGTAGGTCCGTTCAAGGGAAAGAATGTAAACAAAATAACGTTCGCAAAAAGCAACTGAGTGGTCTTTTGTGTGGGAACAGCACCAGTCTATGCACAATGACAAGGCCATCCAAACTATGTACAATGATCATCATAGGAAATATTTTATTTTCAGTGCACCTAAACGCCGCATGGGTAGAAACGCCGCACCCGCTGAAAATTTAAGTTTTAAACACGTAAACGCCGCGGCGTTTCTTCCGGAAATTACGGCAATTCAGGAATTATATTATTTTCGACAATTCAGGAATTATACAATTTATTTTCTTCTTCTCCTA